CGACTCCCGATGACAAAGTCAACTCAAGTAGGCTCCATGTTACCAGAACTATGTCACTTAAGAAACGTTGATATGATACCTATGAAATGCACAAATATAACTAACCCATAGTTTGCAGAAACATGCAATGCCACCATTTTCTTCAGGCGACAGGACTGAGTTTTAAGATGACTTCCTTAAGTTTTACATGGTTGTCAAGCAATCTTAAAGTGAACAAATCTCCAGGAAGTCTCTGCTCCCGGGCCAAGACATAGTCTGCCACATGACTTCCCTGGAAAACTGCTTCATTTACCCTTGTGTGGCGTTGCAGTGTGACAGTGAAGATGAGACATGAAATGGTGGCAAAAAAAGGAGCAACAGCATATTAGTCCAGCAGTGCTTAACATTAGTAACAACAGCTTTTATCTTCACGTTGCATTTATGCAATTGGCTTTTTGGCTGGATCTTAAAGTCATATGACAAAAGGCAGACTTATAGTTCAAAGTCAGCAGTCAAAAAAATGTGGTTCTTAACCGTAGCAATAAAGGCGCAGTTTGTTTTTGAGGTAGACGAATTACTGGCGTCCTACTTCCATGTTCCCAGACCCTTACTTGGCTGGGGTTAATCGTGCTCCAGCCTCCATAACCTCCACTCAGTATAGGTTTACATTAAACACAAACAGCAAGCAGCCACAGTGAAAGTTATGTATTTTGTGTTGGCTAATGTTTGCCAGTTCAGAAACTGTATGCTCCATACATTCAATGGCCCATCATGAGGTATCAGCATAGTGAGCAAAATTGTCCTGAAGAAAGCATGTCATGGCTTAATTGCCTCTTCTTCCATGTTTGGCACAGATTTTTATTTAATCTTGATCCTCTTTAGTTTCTATCTTCTGCTGGGTCATGTGGTTAAATGAGTGATAAATATGGAGACCGCTCTCTCTCTACATATATATCTATATCTCCACGTGATGCTGATCTTAGTCTATAAATCTCAATGTCTTCTTTACATTCAGTGGTTTAGGAGGATGCATTTTTTCCACCCAAAGATGTTATCATGACTTACAGTGACATGGTTTCTCTCAACTATTGCCTTGAAAGGAATGTTACTGTATATGCTGTACTTGGCATCCCATGGGGGGAAACTGTCTTCTAAAATAGCTGTTGTGGAAATGAAGCCCAAAAGTATCGTAACATAAAGCCAAGAGAGTCTGCAGAACCCACTCCTACTCCAGAGTCACTCCCCGCCCTGCACTACACACTCCTCTCCTCCCGACATATTTCAGTTTAAAGGCATGAGTAAAGTATTTTATAGACCATAACTTCTGTGCAGCAGGCTGATGGTCGGATTAGTAACCTGAAATTTAAAAAAAACGTGATGTTTCTGGATTAGCTGCTCAGATTGTCCTTGAAGCAATCTGACTTTGCTGAATATCCATATTAAAAATTACAGTTTGATAGTTGTTTGTTTTGTACTCCTTAGATTGGTGTTCAGAAGGAAGTGTTGTAGCCTACAGTGCAGAATAAGTCAGTAATATAAAAGCTGGAAAACAACTGTATTGTTGTTTATTGCTTTATGATATGATTATGTGCAGCAGGTTTGTAAGCAGTTGCAGACACAACTCCCCCTCAGCTGTCAACTCCGCTGGCTGCTTTGCTGAAGACATGATTTTGATTGAATCCTGCTGTGTTCCTATATATTTCCATATGTGAAAAACTGACTGCATTCTAAATAAACCCTCAAGTTGAGCATAAAGAGGGCGAGACCCTGTTTATGTTACGTAGGAGTGATTGTATCCAACAGGAAACAGCTCAGTCAAACTTATCCATCAACTTGGCTTCGTACCAGGAATAACTGAACACAGTTCAGTTTTTACAGAGTAGATAGTGACAGAAAATAACAAAGCAAAGTTTTTCCACTTCAGACTCCACAGTTTATGGTTAATAGTGCAGTGCCTGCTCAGAACAGGCAGATTGCTTGGCCTGTGGTATTGCTGCTTGCAGCGAGAACGAGAACCGCTCGTACAAACAGCTTCACATTTAAAAAGTAGTATTGAATTATGTTGATATTCCAACTCCTTGTGCCCTGAAATAACTTAAAAATTATGCAACTCACTTTGTACCTCTACTTCAGAGGAAAAAATTTTACCACTACATTTACTTGCAACGCGTTCTCATCCTAAGTCTTCACATGTTGCTGCTTTGTCAGTGGCTTTTTACGTCTATATATTACGCACTAGGTTTCCTTCTGCATCTCCTGTTTATGTTCCAGGATGACACTACCAATGCCAGGACATTAACCAAAGCAGTTATGTTAAGGCAAAGAAAGCACATGGTTAGGTTCAGAAAAGGGTCTACAGGAAGCGCACAACAGCCTCCTGGGTAAAAGTCCGGGGTTTGTTGGGCCCATCCACCACCTCTCCCACCCACCCTATATAGAATTTATATTTTATTTGATGACTTGTTACTGGTTACATTGCAGATTCAGATTTTACTCGACAAAATATAGCAATTAAAAAAATGATGCATTTATTAGGGATGCACAATAATATTGGCGCGTCATCAGTATCGGCCAATATTGGCTTTAAAATTCATGTCATGTCTCCATCTGCTGGTGGACCAATAAGAGTATGCATGCATAATATGATGTCAATTACATCACAGAAGAAACGTGACAATCACTAAAGTTAGGTGGGGAAAAAGTAGATATATCGGTATTGGTATTGGTTATCGGTCAAATAAATTGTTAAATATCGGCATATTGGATACTGGCAAAAAATCCAGTATCGTGCATCAGGAATTATTATTCAACAAATTAAATGTACGTATATTGTGCTGACAGTGCCTCTCTTTTACTCTTTGCTTTAAGTTGAAATGTGAATGCAGGACTTTTACTGTGCAGTATTAATAATTTGAATTTTAATAGTTAATAGTTTTACTTAAAAAAAAAGTTTGGCGTGCTTCTGCTACCACTGCAAATAGCCTACCAATATCCCCAGTTAGAGAGAGGGTGCTAAGTAAAGCAAGATCCCCAAATTAATAAATTTGTCCCTGAAAAACACAACTGTTGCAGCTACGTCAGAAACACGAGTTGTTCATTAAGCGGGTGTATTAATTTCCAAATAGGCGTGTTAGTCACTGGTGTTGACACAACCACCAAGTAGAGCATTAAATTAATTAGCAAATGTATTTTGCTGGGGGGAACGTTATTAGTGTCGTAAGTAAGTAACATTACGGCAGATATACAGCATTAATGAAGGTGAAGACGTGTTCGACTCAGTCTGCCACTCCGTGATTCTAAAGTAGAGCACAGATTTAAATAGCAAGTATATTTTGCAGGCGGAAATGTTATTAGTGTTATAAGTTAGTAAGGCGAAGAAAAACACCCAAGTCAGAAACATTGGTGGAATACACATAGTGAGACATGCTTGACTCTCTGCAGAGCCCTGAAGCCGCACCCTGCTACTGCACAGAGCAACAGAGTGCCTTTCACATCTTTATTCAAAGTTTATATTGGATGTGTTGCGTGTCCAAATTGCATCAATTACGACATTGCGCATCCCCAGTGATACACTCGTTAAATGTGAAGTAGATCAAATGAACAGCTGTTGAGATATGTGAAGGACACACTGAAAGACGGACAGACAGAGAGACGGGCAGATTCCTTGCTTTATTGTTAGACAGTTGTACGTTATGCTCCTGAGACTATTCAGCCACAGAGACGCTCAATTGTTTTCTCTCTACGTGTGTATGTCAAACAGCCCGGCTACAACTTGACATCATTGTACTTTGCTCTCTGATCTTTATTTTCTGCGCTGCAGCCAACAGATTCAGCGGCAGCAGATCTGGCGCCTGAACTGTCCGACTGCCACGAGTTGCATTACACCACGTTTTAATTTTTATTGCCTCTTACAGTCTGCTAATGAAAGACTTGCACCACACTGGCAGTCTGTGCACTTAGAAACAAGGTACACACCAACACAAGAATCATTCAGGACTGGTTGGATACGTGATCGCAGCCTGCCAGCGACAAAAGGGGAAACTTTATTTGCAGTAACGTTGAACCAATATTTATTTGTTTTATTTCTTTGTGACACAACAAAGCATAGGCCTACTAAACACTACTTACTAAAATATGAATGAAGCAATACAAAGACTTAATTTCATCAATGACTATAAAGGAATGGCTCAAATGTTTTTATTTATGTATTGTTAGATGTGTTAGATCCTCATTTTCCTTAAGCCTTGAACTAGAAGAATAAACATACTAAAACAGATAAACAGCTGTTTCGTGCTGCTGTGTGTGTGTGTGTGTGTGTGTGCGCGTGCGTGTGTGTGCGTGTGTGTGTGTGCGCGCGTGTGTGCGTGTGTGTGTTATACCGGACAGGACAGTATCTTCAACCTACCCAGTCACATAAATTCTTTCAGTCTTTAATCTGACAGCTTGAAACCAAACACATCTCTTCTCTTTATCTCTTTTTTATCATCCCTTCTGTCATCTCCTCTTTTCTTTCTCTGTTTCTTCTCTATCTCAAAATGCTCCTCTTATTCTCCTGCCTCTGTTCCTTACCTTTGTCTTGCTTTCTTATTCTCCTCTCCTGTCTTTTTCTGATTCCTTATCTCTGCTTTAATTCGTTGCCTCAACATGTGGTTCGAGTTTTCTGCTGTTTGTTTTGCCAGCACAATAAATAGTGTTTACTACAAAGAAAACAAAGGAAAGGAATCCTAATAAAGTTTATTGCACTTTGAGTCTGGTCCCAAGCTGTGTGGAGGAGAGGGATGTTGTAATGAGACTAGATCTCAGCCAGGTACAGATAAGTCAGGAGGGAGGAGAGTCTGTCTGAGGCTCTGCACTGCATCTCCCAGTCAAACAGTGTGGGCGCCCTCCGTGTTTTATGGGGTGGTGCTTTTGTTTAAGTGTTTCACTCTGCTCATGCACTTGATTCCAAACAAAGCTCCACCAGGCATGAAACAATGAAACAATAGACATTTTTATCATCCACACTCTGTTTTTTTTCTTAGGTATAAAGATTACAGGGAGCCCCCATGGTCTTCAGAAGCGTACACGTTCTCCAAACAGTACTGGTGTGTCCTGGCTGCAAGACTGGCTTTCGTCATACTGTTCCAGGTATGAGCTCATTGTGTACACTGGTTAATTTCTATCAGCTCATGTGTCCGGGGTTCAGACATTTAAGACTGTTTTAAAGCACAACAGACATACGGAAGTCAGTCAGACATCTTTAACAGGTGCACACACATGGCTGGAACTTTTCAGCGGCATCACTCTCTCATTACTCTGCAGTGTAGTTGAAAGCATACGCTGCAGTTAAATGTAACCGATCTGTTCAATAAAAAGACAGATAAAGTAATTGTGCGTGCATTTGTGTGGGCTGGTCTCTTTCAATTAGGTGAATCACAGTGTACTCTTATCATGATCGGGAATATTACCAGATGACTCAGGCAGATAGCGAGCAGCTCATCTGATAAACATCCGTCTGTCCGCCTGCACACTTCACTTACATATGTCTACCAAATGTCCTTCAACAACTAAGCTGTTGGAAAGGTTTCCTTCATTACTGCTGCAGATAAATCATTCTCTAGTATCAGACACATGGACAGAATTCCTCAAAAGTTAGATCAGATCAGACTAGATCAGAGATTTTGTGCGGGAAGGTTGCAGGGAGGACATAGAGAGATATATATGAAGTAAGGTGAGAGAGACAGGTGCATGCAGTTATAAAAAAAAAAGCTGAATTAGTGGGGCAGCCCCTTGAAAATGAAAGATTTAAATCATGTGGGACACCCCTCAGTTGACTGAAATTGCTTCAAGTTGAGCAGTCTTTTTTTATGTGGCTCATCACTGTGCTTGGCAGTGTAGTTCTGGGGAAGTTTTGGACCCCAGATTTTGCTGAGAGTGAGTGCGCTTGACTTTCACGAGACTTTTTTTTTTTTTAAAGATTATTTTTTTTGGGCTTTTTGCCTTTAATGTACAGGACAGAGTGAAATGGGGTGAGAGAGAGAGCGGGGGTTGACATGCAGCAAATGGTTGCAAGCCAGAGTCGAACCTGTGACCGCTGTAGCGAGGCATCGCCTCTGTACATGGGGCACCGGCAATATCCACTCTTTGGTACAGACAGCTGCTGACATGATGCAGCGGCACAGAGAAGGAGAGACTGTGCACTGTAAGGCCATGAGATAACATTACCCTCTCTGTTCTGCTTAGAAGCAGCAATGTTACAGCTCACAGAAACTTAATATGACACAGTCTCTGGCTTTTGCTTGATATCTAGTGTCAGCAAAAAATGTAATCGCACATTTCCAATCGGTCGATAGCACAGTTAGCTTGTCGGCCATATTAAGCAAACGCTCCACAGGCCAGGCTGCCCCACTGAGCCTGGTCAAACTTTATATGGACAAAAAAATAATTCAAATCCCAATCATCTAATATTTGTATTGACCAGCCAAATCTAATTGGACTGACAATTCTGACGAATAGCCCTAGAAATTAGTCACTGTAGTTTATTGTAGGTTGCCCCCCAAGTTTAGCCTGCATACCAGCACAACAAAATATCTACTCCTTGTGAATCAACCTCCATAGATCCGCATAGAAATCAAAGAAAAAAGACGCTCCTTATAACCCCAGAGCTTGCTTGAGAATCATCACGTTCAAAGTTTTCTCTCCTATCACAGTAATCCATCGATAGTTGTCTATACATCCATGGTTACACTGAAACAGGAAGTTCTAATAGCTAATTTCGCAGTCCTTCAGTGTTGCCAATTTGCCCAAATAAAGGCTAAATTTTAGCCATGGCAACATTATACAGTTTTTTTTTTTATGCACACCGTAATGCTCAAACTGAGAGCATGTTTATCCCCAGAAAAGAAGAAAAACAAAGAAAAACAGGTACAACAAAATCCAATGAGATTTACTTATTCAAGCTGCACAAACAATAAGGCTCAAAATGTTGTTCTAGATCCTAGATTCCTTATAACTTCACAGACTTTAAGACTTGTCATTTTGATGACATTGTCACTATGTCCACACAGTAGTACATCAGATGGTTAGTTTGTGGAAAAAAATCATGTTTTCTCCTCCTTGTTGTACTTCTAATGGCATTTCCAAGAATCCACCGGGCCTGACGGAAAACAACCAATCAGAGCCAAGGAGTCTCTAACGCAACTGTCATTCATGTCACTCATCACTGCTTGTGAACTGTGGTCAAACTGTCAAATTCAGCAGCTCTGATCAAATGTAAATCAAGATTCTGTTACTGCATTGCATGTTTCTTGCCTCAGATGTTTTCAGAAACATATTTTAGTGTACTGTTTAGCTGTAAAATGAGAGAGTTTGCTCTGCTCTGTGGGTGGAACTTAGTTTTAGCTAGACTGTGTCCAACATTTTTGGCCAGATCACAAACTTTTTCATTTTACAGCTAAACAGTATGCTAAATTATGTTTCTGAAAACATGTTATTAGAAGCACTATGAGGAAGCAGAGGAACTGGATTTTTTTTCACAGATTATCTGTCTTATGTACTACTGTGTGGACAGAGTGACAGTTAAAGCAAATATGAAAAAATAATTAGGAAAGTTACCAATGACAGCTTTAAAAGAGATCTAAAACTTACTTTATTCCTCCACTTGTCACTTTTGTCATCCATCTCCTTCCCTTTCTCTTCATCTCTCCCTTTTCTAGAATCTGGTGATGTTCCTCAGCCTCATGGTTGCCTGGGGGATCCCTGACGTTCCCAAAACTGTCGTGGAGCAGTTCAAACGGGAGAAGAAACTTCTGGTCGACGTCTTCTTACAGGAAGAGAAGGAAAAATTCCAGCTCATCCAGAGCTTCTTCTCCAAGGACACCACCCTGCAGCCAGACAGCCAAACGCTCCACCCGGGCCAAGGCTTGACAATCCCGAGCCGCTTCAGTACCCTGCCCCCGGGTCTGATGCATGGCTTGCAGGGCTTAGCCGGAGAAGGAGGAGGGCCGAGGGCCAGGTGTAGGGCCGCCAGCTTCAGCTTGTTCACCCCGACACCCAGAAATGAAAATGAGAATTCAAGACACACAGCGGTGTGATATGTAACACACACATCTGTAGGGGCTCTTGAGCTAGGCCTCAGGACTGGAGAACATGTTACTCGGGTGATTCAGTTTGTGAATGTCTTTACCTGTGTCTTTTGTGTCCTGGTGTGTCTGACACTAGTGCTGTGATTTTTTTTTTTTTAAGTTACAGCATCATTTTGAACAAATTTGAGTTATGTCCACACTGGTTGAATGGGTGCCCATGTGTTGTTCCTAATTGCACCGACTGTTCACCTGATAAAGTGTTATCATTTTTACTTTTTGGTAAAAATAAATAATTTAGCAAGGCACACTTGCTTCATAGCGTAGTCAAGCAATAATTACAGTATTAGGCTGAACAACTGAATATTACAAGAACTTGGAAGAGACTGGAGATAAAGACAGACTCTTAACAAATGGACAGATTCAGTGATGAACACTTAATCAACAGACTGATGGACACAGGCTCATTACTAGGGCTGGGGACTGTGAGAATTTCCTGCTTTACGTGCTTATGCTCTTTATGTATTTTTGTTTTTAACAGAATTTGTAGCAGCTACGACATTTCACATTTCCTGTACTTTTCAATACATGGTACTGAAAACACACATGAGCCTTCCAGAGGAGCAAATCATTTTCTTTACTGTTTTCCAGCTGATTTTTCTCTGTAGATTTCAGGAACCACATCGGATCATTTTCAAACTTTACTAAAATTGTAATGTTAGTCAGGCTGGTCATTGTTTCTCTGCTCGACGTATTTGATGATCAGATGCACATGCCAGTGTGGCACTGTGTTGCATGCCACTTATAGATCATAGACAGTCCAAGCTCTAGTTTTAGAAATATATTATCTGTGAAGCAAATGTTTTTCCTGTTAGCATATGGACTTCACAGCTGTCAACTGAGAACAGGATGATTTAATAATCTAAATGGAAACAGAGAGCCAGCTCTTTTGCAAATTGTGAATGACAGTGAACTAGAAGTTATCTCACTTACAAATACTTCCCTTGACAATCTGTCCTTCATTATGAAATACCAGACTGTATATTTCCTGCAGGTAAGTAATAAATCTGGGGTACTACCACACATACAGAGGAGCTGCGTCATGCATCAGAGAACTTGTGCAACCTCTGGCAGCCATGTTTGAAGTCTTCAGCTCTTGAGAAACACTGTCAACTGCATTCAACATACCATCTGTTTCTTCAACCAGTCACTTCATCACTGATAGATATGACTGATTTTATGTTTAGATATTAGATTGTTAGCTAACATAGGCCTACTATCTGGTCTAACTATTGCTGTATAGTTGTTAAAAAACCTATTAGCATTCTAATTAAATTCATTTTTTGCATGTTAAAGTTAAACTGAAATTTGAATTAGCACTTTTTGTACAAGGAAATACAGGCTATAATGATACTGCAGCGGTGTGTATAATTTCAATTTTTCCAAGAAAAGGATAAAATCTGTTACCGACGTATAAGTGGAACCTGTCTTTTGGCAGCAGTTGATTGATATTCGAGGGCCGATGTTGCTAGGGGACATGTCAACTTCCACTACCACTACCCATTGAAATACATCACAGAAGGAGGATTTATTTACATTAATACATAGACGATTTCCCCAACCAGCCCACATGTTAATTAGCTACTGTGAGTAATTTACGACCTCTGTCCCTTTATATTAAATACTTTGGAAAACCCATTGTACTGTGTAAATGTATCTTTCATTCAGAAGTGGAAGCTAGCAAGATAAACTGACTAGCTTTTTACTCTGTAAGTGGAAGCTAATTAGCCTAGCTTGCTAACATTAGCACTGATCCCCTCTCGACGCTTTTGTCATCCACAGCTCCTGCAAGGTCCATGTTCGTCTTGCATTATAGAAAGAAGAGGGTCTTGCTAGCGTTACTTGTCTGTCTTTATGGGTATGAATTAGGTTATGGTAAATGACCAGACTGTCGAAACTCACAGCAACAGGTAGTCTGTAAACCCTAACTTGTAATCACACAGTAATGTGTATGCAGTTCTCAAATCACTCAATCACTCAAATTACAAATAGCTAATAACATCAACCCTTCAGTGTAACTGCCTATATCTGCTGGAATTTAAGTACTAGGCTATTAGGGAGCATTGTTAGTGCCTACCCTAGATATTGGAGTGCTCAGCTTACCAGAAATGACAAGAAAACTGAAGCGCCATCATGTCAGAAAAAAATGAATGAAAATTAATTAATTCTTCTTTTTGGAAATTCCAATTGAAAAAAAATAAGTAGCCTACATAGGTCAAAACAAACACCAATAGCATTTAGCCCACAGTAGTATTAGTTGTACAGTACAGTATGCCGATTACTTAGCAAAAATGAATTTAATTTCAGTTCAACTTTAACCATGGATGTGTCAAGAGACCTGGTTATGGTGTAGCAGTGTTAGTTCTGCTGCCAGTTGTATCTTGGTATCAGAGACACATTGGCAGTCTTGTTGGCCAGCAAGACTTTTGGGGGTACACACCGGGTTTGGCAACTGTCTTTGGAATGAAGAGGCACTCTGTTGGCACACCATATCCAGCTCTCGTTATGCTAAGATGCCGACATGCTGTAAACCTTCAGAACTATTTCAGAGGCCTTGTAACTGCTCTTGTATTTTCAGTACAACACAAAACGCAACATCTGTCTGCTCAGTTAGGATTCAGTGACATATTGTTAACTTAAAATGTATTCACAAGGGAATCGTGATAGTGGTGTTATGCTAGTTTTTGTCATTCAGGAAGACAAATGTTTATCCTTCCCTGATACCCTCCTTACTTAAGCTGGTGTAGAAGTTCTTTAATACATGATTGTTAGATGGATTATGAAATAATTTTTACATGTTGTGTGATCTGTTTTGCTTTTATCTCATTGGTCTGTTCTTTTTTTATTTTGTATTTTGGCCTTTTTTGACCAGATAGTCCTTGTAAGATTACCCGGTCAAATGACAAGTCCTCAGAAAATAATAAACATACAAGGCTGACGCAGGTTTCTGTGCTTACTAGAATGTGGCATTGCAACTAGTTTGATAGCATAGCAATATATTCAGACAATCCTACATGTATGGATATAGAAATACTTTTCTGGATGCACATCATATTGATAATTGTCATTATCATAGGTGCCTGTTAACTCTTGTTGGCTTATCTACTCTTAGAACCCCTTTATCTTTTGGCACCGGGTGAGGTGAATCCATCTCAGCTTTCCTACTGGTTGTCCCAATGCAGAAAATACAAAAGCAAGAGGACTGCCCATTTTTCTGTCAATCATGCTAACTCAATTGTAAAAATTCACTCTGTTTAAGCTGGGAAACACTATAATAAAATTTAAAGTCCCTTTATGACCAAGAAAACCCTGACACTTACCTTGTGAGATGGTGGAGACCAAAACAGGTATAAAAGAAGAAAATAGTCCATTGTCCAGAAACAGAACTCCTCTCAATTTCTTTATAAAACTTGGCATAGCTGGTATGTTTTAGGGCTGTGTTTCTGAGGGTGTCAGAGAGTATTTATCCCACCTAGTGATCACAAAATGTTTCATTTTCTGATTAAAGGCCTTTGCACATTGAGACTGTTTTTTTTGTTCCAAATTGTCACGTTTGAAAAATAAATACGACCTCATATCATTTCAATTATGTTTGCACAGACTCAGAAACTTTCATCCATCATTAAAATGTTTGTTACAGGTCAACTTTCTCCTATCTTTGCCTACGTGAAAAGCCTTTAGAGAGTTGTTTGACCAAGAAGCTGCAAAGAAAATGTGGCATAACCTGTGGCACACAAATCGGTACTAAAAGAGAGGAGTAGGGTACACAGTATTATTTCATAACTCAGATAGCTTACTTTCAACAGGTCAGATAGTTATCAAGTGGATGATGATGACAAGGGTGTGACAGAGGGTGAAGATGGCACACAGACAGAGAGCATGACAGTGTGGAGACAGAAAGGGTGGATAGCTCAGCCCCTTCAGCTGTGCTAAATGCAAGATGAAGAGAGAGTGGTGACAGGCAGGGAGGCAACTCCAACAGAGAGAAGCAAGGGAGCAAGTTGTCTTTCCATTCTGTTTCGTATTTTTGCAACAAATAAAACGATGCAATGCATCAGAGTCAGCGTGCCAGGTTTCTGTGCGTATCTTTTTTTTTTTTTTTTTTCTGGTGATGGATTTAAAAAATGCATTTAAAAAAATGGACTCAGCGTGCAACGGCCTTAAGTTTCTGACCACTTCATAACACAAAGAGTTTTGAACAGATATATGACTTTGTTTTACAATGTGGTGGGATTAACATAAAGTGGGTCAGGCTACAGTTTTTGTCCATGAAGGGATGAAATAAGACATAATAAGGGAGCTCACTGCTGTTTCCCAAACATCAAGGTAAATTCATACATGTCTGAAACAACTGCTCTCACTGGCATTTTTCTTAAATCAGTAATCAGTATGGTGCAGTAACCCTGCTTCAGTCTTTTAATTGCACAGTTCAATTTTTACCACTCCTCGCACATTGTTACTGTGCACAGCGGGACACCACCAATGTTTTATGTTTGTCAAGTTTGCGTGTCCACACTGAAATCTGTTAAGACACAGTATTAAGACGTGATATCACATTTGAAGGTTGTTATTGTAATGCAGGCTACATTGCAGCCTGTGACGACTGATGGGGACAGTGAGTTCTATTCTGATGAGAATATGGATAAGAACCATAATGAAAGAGTAGCTGACTGATATTAAAAACACAACATTTATATTCAGTGTTCTGGAGATTCTCCTAGATGTCTTTCAAAAGCTCTGCTGATACTTTTATAGTAACTGATAAGCAGAGTTGGGTAGGCCTACAACACGTTTCAAAGTAACGCGTTAGAGTACTTTGATTACTTTTTGCAGTAACGAGTAACCGAACGTGTTAGTTTGCTGTTTGAGTAATCAAATACTTAAGCACATTTTCTACAAGCCATCAGTTACTTCCATTACTTTTAGAACGCTGGTCCTTCAGCTCCGAAACAGCAACGGCTGTCTTTTGTCTCTAATAAGGGAGATAATATTAACCTATCAGACCGAAAGAAGTCGTGAAGCTTGTGGCTCGCTACGTTGTAGGAAATGCTGCCGTTGTCTATGGTGGAGTCTAAAAAAAGGTGGAGGACTCCTTGACAGACAGGTCAGACTCAGGAGGACTTGCATTAAGTCTGGTACACACTACACAACTTTTCTGCCCATTCTGAAAGTCACTATGTCACATGTGGAGTCATAAAATCGTGCCGTGACTAGGCCGACAGACATGCCACACAATTATCCCCGATCGTCTCTCACGACGTGTGTGATGTCATCGGGTTATTCTTGTCCTATTACTTTTACTATTATTTCAGTCACTGTGTCTGTTCACGTGCCAGCCGAAATGTTGTTGTAGTCACCTAAAAAGCGCCAGCAGATGGCAGGAGCTACATTTGAAGCACCGTATGTAAACTATCAAGTTACTGTATCTTCCACAACCAAGTTCTTACAAATGTTTCACAATAAAAGCCTATTTAGAAAAATAGAGGGATTCTCGGCCGTTATAAGGGGCTTTTAATTTGAAGGAAAATCAGGAAGTATTGAGTTTGAAATGACGACGCAATATGTTAACTTTATGAAGACAACGGGAGCGGATAAAAAGTAAATATATAAACACACAGAGGGATTAATAAATAACGGACCGTCTATAATGTAGTCTGTTTCAAATGAAGCTGGTAGCCTCTGCAGTTGTGGTGAGTAAAAGCCCCGCCACTATTTGTTAATGTTATTACTTTATGTCCGGGCATGAGGATGTAACATTGTTTGCTAGCTTGATGCTAATGACAGTAACGTTAACTCAGCGGGTTGACAAAGTGCCTCTGCTGTTTCACACCATCATTTTCCCCTTTTAGTCTGTGTGGTAACATCCCTAGAGGAAATATTAAAAACGCTGGGGTGTTGTTGTCTTACAGTTGTCTATGGCAGCATGTCTACTGGTCAAAGTGACGGCTGTGATGGGAGAATTGGATCTCAGTGAAGGGCAAGTGGTCCATAACTTTAATTTTGGAGACAAAAAATGTAGGCTTAGCGCCCTGTGGTCCATTGCCCAATAGGAAATGTAGAATACTCAAAAGTACTTTAAAAGTGCTTGAGTTACAGGGAGTAACGCAGTAAAGTAACTGGTTACTTTTTTAAAAAAGTAATGCAGTAAAGTACTTTGATTACTCTTATCTGCTGATAAGATAGCAATGCTTTAAGTGAAAAAAAGTAGCAGGATTATGTATCATGACTTTTTTGTCATATGATATACTGTGAAAATCCCTAATCTCTTGAAGTAAATGAGTGTATGTCATATTGTAATGGAGCTGTGTGGTTTTTATGTTTATGCCAGCAATGCATTGAATAAGGTCCAGAGTTTTCTGGGGTCTGCTGGCCACACAGGGGCAAGTTTCCTTAATTTCCCTGAATGCAACATTGACATCATTTCCTGTTTGAAGATACAAATTTTGGAGCTGTCTTCCATTTTGTTTTGGAGGTGGAAATGTTTGCAGAAAAATGTAACTGAATTCATAATATAATGGCTTTCATCAATGACAGTGGAGCCTTTATTTCACAACCTGATTTGCATCATCACTTTTGAATGACTACTCTACCGTTTATCCATTACTTTTTGCTATCTGCAGGTATTTCAACCCGTTTATCCATTAGCCTACTTTATAAGTATTTGAATAATTTACCAATTAACATTAGACTGCTGTTAGCTAACTGTTTGAACTGTTTTACTTTTAGTTAGGTTAGGCTACGTTTGGATGAATGTTGTGACTGTTCCTCCATTACTGTACTATTTCAACCATTTATCCATTAACATTATCCCATTTTTAGCCGACTGTTTCAATCATCTCCCCGTTACTTTGAGCTAACGCAGGTAGGTCTATTTCAATCATTTATCCATTAGCCCAATTTTAGCAATATATTTTTACCGTTTATCCATTATTGTTAACTAACTAACTACTACAGGTATTTTAGTTATTTATTCATTGCCTACTTTTAGCTAATTACCTCAGTCATTTAAATGCGTTGCCTACTTTTAGCTAACTACATCAGCTGTTTACTCTTTTCTTTTAGCTGACCATTTCAACCATTCATCCATTGCTTTAGCCAAATAGTTTGACCGTTTGTCCATTAGTTTTAGCTAACCACAGATATTTCAGCCATTTATCTGTTGCCTACTTTTAGTTATCTGTTTCAGCTGTTTATCCTTTACTTTAAGATGACTATTTTAACCATTTATCCATTTCTTACTTTTAACTATTTCAGCGATTTATCCATTGCCTACTTTAACCTAACTATTTAGATTATTTATGCATTGCCTACTTTAAGCTATTTCAACTGTTTAATATCTATTAAGTCTACTTTTAGCTGACTGTTTAAACTATTTTCCATTATTTATTGCTAGGTATTTCAGCTGTTTATCCATTAACCTTCTTTTAACTAAATATTTCTTCCATTTAGCAATTTGTTTCAGCTGACTATTTCAACGAATTCTCCATTAGCCTACTTTTAGCTGTTTCAGCTGTGTATCCATTAGTTTTGGCTAAGTGTTTGAATCATTTATCCATTACTATAATGCTTTTAACTATTTTAAATGTTAAGTCATTACGTTTATCTATTTCAACCATTTACCGGTATTTGTACTTGGCTCTATTTGGATTTCTTTGCTCGCTGCTCACTATACTATTTGAGTCAATTACGACGCATGTTAAAGTGTAGCTGTCTCAGCAGGTCATCCAGTTTTTAGTTTTAATGAAATAATAATTTCTACTTTGTCACGTTCGTTGAGCAAAAATCTTTCCATGTGCCCCCTGGGCTACAAGTATCCCCGGTTGGGAATCACTGATCTACACTACTGTTGGTGACTTTGTGCTTTCATGTGTCTGGCTGTAATGGAACATCAGGTAGCTTTCCTTTCTGTAGTATGAGGCCAAATTGGCATGCAACCAC